TTTCATTAACTCTCTCTTTCTTTTTCCCTCCAACCCACTTTCCCCTTCCAAGGATGCGATTAAATGGGAAGAGATGCAAGCGATTAGTGCGTTTTCTTTTTTTTTTTTTTCTTCTTCTTTGAAATAAGATCTATCAGTGTCGGGGAAGCATTTTATTTTTGATGAATTTGATCAGTTCCCATCGTGAGGGAAACATCGTCGAAAAACGAATTATATGCATATATCTATAGAGAGTGGTTGTATTTCCGTAGGAACCATAAAAGGTATATATATATATATATATATATATTTCTCTTTACCATGCGACATTATTTATTTATTCATTTGTTTATTTGTTTTTATTTATTTTAAGCATTCAATTTCTTTAATCCTTTTTTTTTCTTTTCTTCTTCCTTTTTTTTTATTTTTATTTTTATTTTTTTTTTTTTCGTCTATTGGAAACGTTACCACAAGATCCTACCTTTTTTTTTCCCGTGGGGTCTGAAGAAGAATTATAGAAGTCTGAGGCCGTCTGTGTTTGTGCCTAAGCCCGTGGTGTCTGTGTGCCATTCATAAGAATTGATGAGTGAGATGAACTCACCCAAGAAAGAAGAAAAACAACAACAACAACAACTGCAACTACAGGAACAGCAACTGCAACAACTACAGGAAGAAGAAGAAGAGGGGGAAGTGTTAGAACCATGTGAAAAGCATGAAGTCCTAACTGCCTCACCCATTGCATCTAGAACAATTGATGTGGTAGAGAGTATTAAAGAACTTTATAATTTACATAAAAGTGGTGCACTTTCTGAGGATGAATTTCGTGAGGCCAAACAACGTATTCTGCACATGGTGGGTGGATCCCCTCCTTCTTCTTTATTATCCATTTCAAAGTTATCACGTAGTACACGTGCCTCACGGACGCAGCACCGACGAAGAAGACGCAGCAAAGACAGCAGACATTCACATGAGAGTAGACATCTCTCTAGTCATGATAGTAGTAGAAGTGTTAGTACTAGCAGTACCACTAGTAGCAGCGAGGCGAGTGGATTTATGATTGCACCTCGAGCCAAAGTATGGCTTCAACTCGCGACCGAGAGTGACAGGGAAGATACTTCTTCTTTAAACACCAAAGAAATATCATCCGGCTCGACGGGTGTACTCCTGCAGGTGAAGGAACAGGACCCCCCAACAGCAGGCGGCGGCGCCCCTTCGCCCTCGCCGGGTCTCTCCAGGCGGTACGGCACCTTCCAGGCCCCGTGGCCGGTGCCGATCGGCGGCGGCGGAAGCGGAAGTGGAAGACGAATGCCGGCAGCCCTGCGGCCCTCAAATATTGTGTATGTGGAGTATTTTAACTGCCTAGGAGCCAGCGGGAATAGCTTTGAGGATGTGCAACTGCGGGAAGATCAACTCCGCCCACCCTACTTTCTGCACAAGCGAACCACCAATCAAACCCCAGCGGATATGAGAGGGGATACGGGTACGTTATCACCATGTACAACAAGAACATCATTGCCAGTGCCACGTACTTTCACAACGGCGGCATCAGAGGTGGATATCTCAAATATTGTGTTGGAGGATCAACGGCCAAGTGTGAATACGAATACAGCTGACTCAACAGCATCTACAAACTCTAATCTTGAAATGTGTTTGAATTGGTATTGGATTGATATGGTTGGACGTGATGCTACAAGGCAAAAATACAATAATGCTTTGCGTTTCTTAACTAAACAATTTAAAATAAGTGAATCTTTCTTAACGGATCGAGATCATTCTCTTGTATTACCACAAATCAGTTCCTCACCGGATGTACCTTCACAATTTCTTATTTGTCTTCGTGTGGCTACTCCACAAATTGCTCTTGAGGATGATAGTGTACAACAATTAACCAATCGATGGATTATTGTTGTAGATCTTAATCAAAAAATTGTTATTACTATTCACCGTATGGACTGTAATTGTATGGCGAATATGCGTCAACAGTGGCGTTCATTAATGGAAGGGAATGTTATTTCTTTTCAAGAATTTCTTTTAAAAATCTTTCATGACGCCGTTAATACGTATGAAAGTTCTCTTGATGTCCATGCAGACTTATTAGACCAATGTGAATCCAAATTATTTGTTACTCAGACAAATATGAAGGAACATAACTATGATGATACTGATCATAGAGGTCGTTTTGCCAATGGTAAGATTCTTTCACATTTTGCCAATAGTTCACGTTCACCATTTCTTCTACAGTTACTGGACAGTAAAAACGCAAAGCCGATGGATAAGGGAGCTATGAACATGTTTCTTTATCACTTACACCGTCGTACGAGTGTACAGTATCGGGTATTAAATGTCACGCAAACAGTGCTAGCAGAGAGTTTCACAAAACTCCGCCTCTGTAGTAAAGAACATGCGAATCAAATGTGTTTACATTGTATTGAACTTATTGACCGATCCTTAGGAGTCCGCGATGATGCCAAAACATTACTTAACCTCCATATATCCCTTCAGTCATTTCGCTCAAATGAGCTTATGGCGGTACTCACAAAGTTCTCCGTCTTTTTTACTCCCTGCTCTTTCCTTGCGGCGGTGTATGGTATGAACTTTCCGTACATTCCAGAGTTCCGCTGGTCCTATGGCTATTCATTTTTCTGGCTTGCCTGTTTTCTTGTCTGTATTCTTATCTATCTATATATGGGAAAACGGGGTCTGTTGCATTAAATTCATATATATATGGGCCATATTGGAATCTGGAATCACTAATAAAAAGGGAGAGGGAGGAGACGTATATATATATACAAAATAAGGAGGGAGGGTGGGGTGGGGAGATGGACTAACGAGGAATGGAAAAAGAGAGAGAGAGAGAGGTAAGAAATAAAAACAAAATGAATTAATGAAGAAGAAGAAAAAAAAAAAAATGGGTTGCGATGTGCGTAACTAAATGATAAAAACGAAAATAATAATAGTAATAGTAATGATAAAATTTTTGATGTAACTAGAAGAAGACGAAGACGAAGACGACGAAGAAGAAGGAGGAAACTGTGTGAATTATGTTTTTCTCATAAGAGTAAATATATTCCCAGGGAGTCCTTACTTCCTTCTTTTTAAACTATTATTTCATTCTATCTATCTATCTCTCTCTCTTTGCCTGTTGATCTTTTTTTTCTTTTTCTTTTTCGTTCGTTGAAAAATTTAGACGTTAACCGCAAGAGATATTTGGGGCACATTGGTGTTGTGGTTAATGTGCACTTAACTATCTTGACTGGAGTTTCTTTTTTTCTGTGTGTGTGTGTGTCGGAATGCGCAGACTTGCCTTCGCACGTCTTTTTTTTT